TAATCAGTAATATATTAGATTATACCTATATAAAAAAAAATAAGTATTCCGAATACTGTACTCCGAATACTCGTAAAAAGTATTCAAAATACCGTATTGAATACTTTCAAAAAAAGTATTTAAAAAGTATTCCGAATATAGTATTCCGAATACTGTATTCGGAATACTAACCAAGTCTGGCGGAAGGTTGTTTGAGTTAAACATCAAGGTCGAAGTACTGACAAACGGGTACGTGACTGTAGCTGTCGAAAACAGGTTGTCTGTTTGGCACGAGCGCATGGCACATCAGAATTTACAGTACGTAAAAAGTTGTTTGGCGAAACACGAAATAGTATGTTTGGCCAAGGACGACGAATTCATGTGCAGCAGTTGTATAATAGGTAAACAAAGTCGTAAATCATTTAGTAAAAGTAATACGGAGTATCACAATGTCAGTGATTTAATCCATGCAGATTTATGTGGACCAATGGAGGTAAGCTCTATAGCCGGTTCAAAATACTTCTTGTTATTCAAAGACGACTACTCGCATTATAGAACGGTATATTTTATTAAAAATAAATATGATGTTAAAAATATTTTTGAGACGTTCATAAAAAGTGTTGAAACAGAAACAGGTTCTAAGGTCAAAATAGTACGAACGGATAATGGATTAGAATTCGTAAATAAAGAAATTACTGGTATTTTGCAAAACCACGGGATTCGACATCAGTTAACAGTTCCCTACACAGCAAAATGGAAAAGTGGAACGGGAAAATCGTACAATAGTAGAGTCAGCGAGGACAATGATTTGTGCGAAAAATTTGGATGTATCACTTTGGGCGGAGGCGGTAAACACGGCTGTTTACACGCTTAATCGAACAGGAACCAGTTCAGTTAAAAATAACTCACCATACGAGTTATATTATAAGGTAATGCCAGACATTAAACACTTACGAGTTTTTGGTACTGTCGTATATACACACATACCAAAGCAAAAACGTAAAAAGTGGGACCCTAAAAGTGAAAAAGGAATATTTGTTGGCTATTCGGATAATACCAAAGGTTATCGTGTGTATTATTCAAAAACAAATAAAATTTCAATGTCTAGAGATATTATATTCGAAAACGAAGGTAATAAATTGGAAAATATAATTGCAGACAAATTAGAATTCACAGATACTCAGACTCAAATCGAGGACGATCCGGTCAAGGTCGAATTGACGACGGTCGACAACAGGAGTGGCATTGTGCTACGTGATCGGAATACATTAAAAGCGCCGATCAGGTATAATGTGTCGTCGTTCGTTGCCAATCTCGTTGAACCACTAAATCGTGATGAAGCGATAGCTGGCCCACAGAAAAACGAGTGGGAGCACGCTATGAGTGATGAAATTACGTCACTACACAAAAACAACACTTGGTCACTAGTTAATTTGCCTCAGGGCAAGGTTGCATTACGTAACGCATGGGTTTTCAAAACCAAATAGAAAAGTGACGGTAATATCGATAAGTTTAAGGCCAGATTGGTCATTAAAGGCTGTTCACAGAAATAAGGTATAGATTCCCATGAAACATTTTCGCTAGTGGTCAGATACGAATCAATTAGGGCGATATTCGCAGTAGCAGCTGTGGAAATATTAATACTACGACAATTCGACGTCAAGACAGCATTTCTGTAAGGAGAACTACAGGAAGAAATTTACATGGTACAACCACCAGGGGGCCTATTCTCAAATCAATCGAAAAGATCAGTCGAATAGCTTTTTTCGATCAAAAAAGTCTATTCGATTGCTGGTTTTTGATCGAGTGTATTCTCAGGCAGTGATCGAATATTGTAAATCGTAAATATTACGTTCGATCGGTTTTTCGATTTTCGAGTCGCTTATCACAAAAAACAGTTTTTATTCCATGAAATAAAACATTTTATCGGCTATATTTTGATACTACAAGTTTTCACCAAATACTGTGAATTTATAGTATTTATTATTTATTTTATTTTTTAGTATTAATTAATAATTATGAATCCCCCAAAAAAATTCAAGGGGAAATCTGTTACATTTGAGCAAAAACAAACATTAGTATCGTTTAAACAAGAACATCCGGAACTACATAAGGGCAAGTTTAGCCCATCGTTTACTTCTAAACATAGCAAAGATTTATGGACACAAATAAGCAATGAGCTAAACTCTATAGTTGGCGCAACGAAAGATCCATCAAAGTGGAAAAAAGTAAGTAAATACTCGTATAGTTACCAGATTTTTATTTTATAGCAGGTACAAAACATATATATGTTGTGACATATACAACTTATTTATTATATATACATTAATTAATTAATTATACTAAAAATTTGACTCTGAGAAAACTTTGAGTCTCGTTTTAACTTTGATATACTTGATTATGAATTTTTAATTTGAAACCGGTCGCATAATACACTTATCATAATACTCCAGGCGACACATTTATTCATTTTTTATTTATATTTATTTTCTATATTATGAGTATTAACCATTTTAACAATAATTATTATTTTATAATATATATCACTAAAAACTTTTTTTTATACCAACAGCTTCATATATTATTTATACTAAGTACCTACCTACAATATTTATGAATTGTTATAACTTATAACTTTAATTAATATTTATTGTAACATTTAGTGCTGGATAGATTTAAAAAGTAATACCAAGTCCAAAAGTGCAGAAATCAAAAAAAATTCTGGAAAAACAGGTGGAGGAATGAATGAAAGTGAAGAACTTGAAGATTTAGAAAATCAAATTTTAGTCATTATATAGGAAGTATCTGTGAATGGACATCCAAACACAGTGGAACCAATCATTTGTTTTGATGGATACAACAAAGTTATGGGGTCTCAAAATATGACTAATGATTTGTTGTAAGTAACTATAATTTGAATTTGCCTAGGTAATAATTTAATAACTAATATAAATGTGTAGGCCAACGCCAGATAACATTGTATCTGCACCAAACAATGTTAATAATACTGACGATCTTGGTATTGCTGAAGACAAAGAGGCAACAACTAGCACAACCATTGAAGACACAACCATTTCATCACAGATGAAATATAGGTAAATAAAATATTTTCGCAAATCATAATAATTATGATAATAAATATTGTTGTATAAATTATAAACTATTTTTAATTTCTTCCAGTAAACTTGGCATATTTAAAAAATTTATCACAGGTAACAAGACCAGATATAGCATATGCAGTAAACTTTGCTAGTCGTTACTTAGCAAAACCAACTAAAGCTCATTGGAACTTGGTAAAACGGATTATACGATATATCAAGCGAACATTTAATTATGGCTTGTATTTTAATAACAAAACAAAATTGTCATTAGAAATATTTAGCGATGCAGATTACGCAGGCGACATTCAGACACGACGTTCAACGTCAGGATTTTTATTCAGGTACGGGTCAAGTATAATTTCATGGACATCGCAGAGACAACATAGTGTGTCATTGTCATCGACAGAGGCTGAATATATTTCGGCCAGTGAAGCTGTCAAAGGGATCTTGTGGATTACACGGTTGATAACAAGCTTATCGACAACAGTTGACAAACAACCGGTTTTATTTATAGATAATCAGAGTGCTATTCGTTTAGTTAAAAATCCGGAATTTCATAAGCGGACAAAACATATAGACGTACGGTACCGGGAGAAATACGAAGAGGGACAATTCCAACTACAGTACATTGGAACAGAGGACCAAATTGCGGACATTCTAACCAAGCCTTTGGTTAAGGAACGATTCGAGAAGTTGCGGTCAGCCATAGGAGTGACTACATTTAAAGAGATTATTAATTGAGGGAGGGTGTTGAAATATACAATTAATATGTAGTATATGTAGTCAGCCTTGACACGTGTGTACAATATAGTAACTAGTTATGTACGAGCATAAGACTCACTCTCTTTACGGATGTAAGATGACCTCGGTCGTGCATATATATAGGGCCTTTGATGTATGTAATGTTCACTTGCACAGACGTCGTTGTACAGAGCGTATACGATGTGTGTGTACTGTCACAGTTTAATTGTCCAGTTGTACGTTATTATAATATATCGATGGCTAAGAGGCCAAAAGTTGTATGTCCCAAACACTAAATTTTACAGGAGAGCAGTTTTAAGATTTTAAATTATTCTACACTAAATAATTTTTGTTGTAGATTTTTGTTTTTCGGTATTGCAATTGATTTATTTGTATAATATTCTGTAGAAAACATAAATTATTACTTTTAGGTCTTAACATTTTTTTCAGACCTAATTATAATGTTTCTTTCAAATTTAAATGGGACTTGTTATAAATGGCAATTATAATATATTTTTACCGTGGACATATAAGGTTTTGATGGACATGTTATTATTATTAAAAGTTGTTAATTTAATATAAACTAATTGATTAATTATATTATAAATAGTTAATAATAATAATATGTACTTAAGACTAATTTTTTTGATATACGAAATTCAATATGTTTATATAATTGCAGTAGAAAATTTAAAAATAAAAAAAATATTGAATTTTTTATTGAAAAATAATAAAGTAGCATTTTTCATCAAATTTTTAGTCATATAAAACCCGTCCTTTATGATATTTTATGCTAATTGATGATATATTATTTAGTGTAATAAATATAAATATATGTCGTACATAATTATACATTACCATAGTTATAATTTGTATTCATAATAATTTATTGACAAATCCTAAAAAGAATATTATTCTATTTTATCAATTCTTCAATAGATACAAGTGTAATAATAACAAATACAAAAATTAGGTAAAGAAAAAGTATAATTTACTCATAAAATCAAAATCAAAATACTGTTGGCATATTATAAAAATAAAAAATAAAAATAAAAAGTATACTTTACTCTTAATAATTAAAAAGTATAATATGAAAAAAAAATAATAATACTGTTAAGCATAAAATCAAAGTTGAAATATTAAAAATTATTGAAATAAAACAATTAATAATAGTACCTATTATGTTGTTTCTTCATCGCTGTCAGTCTCAGACCATGGAATTGTGTTTTTTTTATTTTTTGTAGTTGGAATACTATTGTAAAATGAGTCATATTCCTTTGGAATAACACCGCTTTTCAACAAGCTTAGTAGGTCACTTTTTTTTGCTTCAGAAACTGGAATTTGATCTTTGTACTTCAGTATTTTTTTCAAAACTATTGCACTTGTATTTTTTGGTGTCTTTTTAGGAGTATTTGGCATTACATTAAGTTCCATAAATTTTTCATCGGATAAATTATATTTGAATTGTACCATAAATGGTTTTGATTTTTCAAAACGGATCCATTTTATTTTTAGCCATTTCATTTTATCACTCATACCTTCTATATTACGGTTCCAATTAGTTCCAGATGCCATACTTTGAAAATCATAAAAATCTTTATATGTATTTACATTAACGATGTAAGATTGCGGTTTTATTCTTGCCATCTGAATCAATAGTGACCATTCCCGTGTTGTATAAATTGTTTTGTGCTTTTTTGCCCGTTCAATGCATGCATGCATCGAATCCGCTTCTAGATACGAATGGCCCGACTCCATATACTTGATATCAATTATCTGAAGGTGATCAATTGTTTGAACAGCGTACATAATTGCTGTCATAGTATATTTATTTCGGTTTTGGCCACCACACGTATCCGAGTATGTAACCACATGTTCGACTGTTTCGGGTAAATTTTCTAAATATTGTAAAAGACATGTTCCGATTTCTGTTGATCCTTTTCCTCCATTTAATTCGTCCCATACATAGCAGTATCCATTTGCACTATGGTGTTCATAAATAGTGAAATTAAATACTGAGAGTTTTCTTTTATAATATATTTGCGAGTCTCCAGCATGTGGAAGATTAAGAACGGCTTGTAGATCGAATGACACTGAACGAAAATGTTTTCCTTTATTATCAATTGCTATGTTCTTGTCTTCTTTTTTCATATCTAAGGATTCTTTTTCTCTCCTTTTATGCTCTGACCAATCAGTTTTAATTTTATCAGTAATTAGGTTTGATGCGACACAGTTATTATAATTATTACACTTGGTACATTGATCTTTTTTGGGTTTATAAAATGATAATGCTGGATCAAATTCGTGGAATACTCTTGTGTATACGATTTTAGATACAGGCTCAGCAGGTGACGTACTGCAATAAAGTCTATACATGATTGATATATTTAAATCAGATGACAAGTATAACTTTTTTGTATCATGGCGACAATAGTGGAATTCCATTTTTGGAAATGATTGTATATGATTTTTTACCTCTTGTATTATTTTGTCAGACGTTTTATTTGGAGGCGTTCTTCCTAAACGTCCATCGACACCAACAAACATTCCTGCTTCATTACATTTTTTCATTGCCAATTTAATTACCGGAAATGTTATGTGCAACGTTAAACAGAAGAATTTTTGACAGACTCTGTGTTTAATTCCATTTAAATCTGTCAGGTAATACTCAAAACACTTACTTTTCGTCTTCTGTTTTGAGGGATCATCTGTTCTTGGTCGATGACGTTTTATAGAATTTTCCACAATATTCGAAGTCAAATAGCATTTTTGACGTGTGGAATCGCCCAAATCCCAATAATTACGACATATTTCAATTCGCATTTCTTCGGTAAAATTAAATGCACATTGAAATTTACACTTCTCACAATTTACTTGCTTGGGCAATTTTTTTTTATCACTTTATTTGACCTATTAACATATTGAGATCCTGACATTCTTTTTTTTTTATTATTGCTCGTTTCCAAGTCGCACGGTTAACATTTTGTTTCCTTTTTCTAGTCAGTTTTTTTGGCTCATTATTAACAGATAATTGTGTTGAACATGAGTCAGAACTTGTTTGATCAAAATAAACATTTTTTAAGAGACTTAAAGCGTTTTCTTTTTTCTTTGGACTTTTAACTGATTTTATTTTTATATTTGTAGAAACACTGATAGGGATTGCATATTCAGATGACTGGGATGAATGTGAAGATGGATGATATGAACTATCCTCATTATTATTACTTTCTACATCATGATCCAATTCTATCACATTATTAGATTCTATAATATTAGGTTTATAAATGTAACTTGAGAAAAGTACACTGGCAGGTTCTAATATTTGATAATTTTTGATTTCATCCTCGTTCGAATTTAAATTGAAAATGTCGTTAATATTTTCTTGTAATTCTAAATCAGTGTTATTCTCGGCAGGTTCAATAATTATTGGTTGTGTAAAAGGATCAATATTATCTAAAAAGAAAATAATACGATAGGATTGTAACACTAGGTCAATACTTAGAGGAAAATAATTATAATATAAACATTAAATATTAAGTAATTCTTTTTTGATTTTGTAATTATTTCGTTAAATATATAAAATGGTAAGTTGACCTATGATATTATAATTTATGTATTATAAAATAAAAATTGACAGTAAAATTATTTGCAAAAATGAACGAAAAAAAGTGGGTGTCGCTCTGCTTTGGTAATTGAAATAAAAATCCCCAGACTACAATATTACTCAGAAACATATGAAAATGACTGAACAAATATATTTTAAACAATTTAAACGTTAATTATTAGTATTTATAATTATCAAATTATTAATATTTAATAACAAATACATTAAAAAACTTAATATATAGTGATAATAGAATATTAATGATAATATTGTAAATAATATTTTATTTTAAATTACAATAATATTATATTATGTATAATTATTATAATATTATATTATATTACAAAATACTATAATATGATACCATTTCACAAACAGACAAGAGACAAATTATTGAGGGTGACCAAAACAAAAATTACGAAGGTACTTAATATATAATTTGAAAAACTTACCGTCGAAATAAATCGGATTCACAGCATTAAAACCTTCTTCAAAACTTTGTATAGAACTAATCCATTCCTGAACAAACGTCATATTTTGCTCATTGCAGCTATTGTCTTGGCCATCATTGTTAAACGGGGTAATATTTTTCGTATTTTCAATACCGGTATAGTTTGTTTGATGGATAGTCATATTATCTAGTTTAAGACAATATTATATTTTTATTTGGTTATATTATAAATATTAAAATATATAATTATGATTACAAGAAACACATTACTATAATAATATGTAGAATATTATTGTATTAATTATAATAGGTACATCACTATATTATATTATGATTATTTCAAATTTGATTTTCATTACAGATATAATATAAATACTATCAAAATAATAAATTGACTTACCTTCGTTATGTTCTTTAATTGGTTCTTTGTACTGTGTAAGCAACAACATCTTTTTAGCTCTACTGCTAGAATGCCCGGAATTCATGATAATAATTACAATATTGTTATTATTTAAATTTTTAATTAATTTATTGTTTGACTATTAATCAATTAAAATAAAATAAGAAACTCAGTCTCACAAGTCACAAGACTGTACACGCAACTACAACACGTCAATATTATTATGTCACGATTGTCATACAAATGATTATAACTATTAAAATCTTATCGATACTAATATTATTATGAAAACAGTATCGACGGATCGACGTATTGACGTATCATCAGTGATTAAAACTATATAGATTAAAAATAGTTTTTCGACAAAATAATACGTCCGGACATATTCATTTTTTATAAATAGATAAACAAATTCGATATTATCTAAAACATTACACGTCCAAAATTGAATGAATTATTTTTGACAAAAGTAACAAGTCCGGACATGTGATATTTGTCCGCTTAATATTTAGATCATGTTAAAATATTTATTGTATGTCTCATTAAATTAGGACTTGTTATATGTGTGCACTAAAAAAACCTATCTTGCACTAAAAACACAAAAATTAAAGTATAAATAAAACCTGTTTTAATTGTGATATTGACTTATAATGTTTTACCAAATCATAAAGACGACCCAGATAAACCCAATGGACTAATAAAACGATTTTGAGAAAAAATGGACATACAACTTTTGGCCTCTTAGCCATCGATATTATACTTATACATAATCATATTGTCGTGTTATTACTTATTATATTAATCCTAACATCATTAGTCCGTCAAGCTTCACTTTCAACAATTGTATTCAAAATACAATCAAAACTGAGTTGAAGTGGTTGGCACGTTACAATACCAACATTTATTTGCTAAATATTTATTTATTTATTAAATGGGTTAGGTTAGATTAAGCCGGTATTACACTGGATCGACATCAGTCGATCGACATGTTGATTCGACATCTGCTACCGAATTCCGTTCGACTTTCGTGTCGATTTTACTTGTCGATCGACAAAAAGTCGGTAAACATCAAAGGTAACTGTATCGACAACCGAACGGTAGCCGGTATGCGTAGGCGGTAAAAAAATTATTTAGGTACAATGACTGTTTTTTATTATTGACAAATAGAACAATTTTAGGCGTAGTTAGAATTTTTATCAGGGGGGCAACCTGCAAGTGTGTTTTTGAATTTTTACCCCAATTTAAAATTTAGTTTGCCCTCCCCTCCTTGGATACTCCGTTGGTAAATAGTAAATTGTGACCAGCTACAATGTTAGCGGGATTTATAAAAAAAATACTGTTGATGGATCATTAATTTTTCGGAAAATAGTGCCTATTTAAATGTATCAATTCATGTTTAATAATTTTCTTAACAATATTTAATTTAATTTTAAAAATTTAAACATAGGTTACTTAAAATTATCAAAATACCTAAGCCGCTTTAATTACATTTCTATTATTATATTGATTAATATTTACTAGTCACAATATTTATTAATACCTACATTATTATTTACATTTAATAATAACGTAATCCTAAATGTAATTAAATAGATACCTATTTACTATTATAAGCTACTTCTTCCACTTCACCATTCTCTCCTAACTATATTTATAATTTTAACTATTTATATAGAGTATAATTTACTCTGCTATTTTGGTTTATTGTAAAAATACATATCCAAATATCGAAACGGAAATAATCTATAAGAATGTTCTGAAGTCAGTTGATATTGTTCTTCAATACAGTCCGTACGTTGTAGGTACTAGATTTTGTTTTAACGTATGCGCATTTTTAAGTTTTTACATTTTTTGATTTAAAATGGCAACATCTGAGTGTAGTGAAAAGTGGAGCAATGTAAATAAATGTATTTTTATTGACTTGTACAAGGAAAGACCGTACCTTTGGAACCCAAAACAATTACAATATAAAAATAAGTTGATTAGATTTGATGATTTGACTGAAATTGGAAATATTATGAAAATATCAGTCGAGGAATGCGAAAAGAAAATTAAAAATCTTCTTAGTCAATATGCCAGAGAGAAAAAAAAAAATCAAGAAAACAAAAAATCCGGCGCTAGTTCTGCTAAAAACATTTGGTTTGCATATGAACAAATGCATTTTCTACAGGATAGGAATAAACCAATGCACACAAGGGATACAGGAGAAGAAGAGACCACGAGTGCAGTATTAGTAAGTATATTTTAATATTATATTATTATTAAATATTATATTTATTTTATTTATTTATATTATATTATATATTTATATTATTATATTATTATATTATTTAATATTATAATATATACACTTTGTGTACACTCGCAGGCAATACCATGGGTACAATGACACAAACATTTTTTCTGTTAATAAACAATACTCTTCAAAGTAGTCAACATTTATTGCATGTCCACTTGCCATGGCTAATAGTATGTTCTACATCATTGTATTAAGTCCACATTAATCCCATTACAAGCCGCTGAAATTTCGGGTTTCCTAGAAAATTTTCGTGCTGTATTACCGTCATTTGTTATGCAGTGACCTGTGGAAATTGAATGTTTTATAATAATTTACTTAATTTACAAAATATATAAGCTACCAACAATAAATTATTTAGTGTTGACTATATACAAATAAAATGTATAGTTATCAAGGGTACCTATATAAAATAAGTAGGTATATACCTTGCAATACCACATCGACTAACAGTCCCATCTCGGACCGAAATTTATTTTGTATGAGATGTTTTCTTTTATTGAACACATCTTTATGAACCGCCTTAACCTGTTGATATTGGTATACAATATAGTGATATACAATTTACGATATACAATTTTTTTTAACAAGTTTAAGATAATGAAATAGAATAAGGTTTACCTGCCATGTTTTGAACTCCAAACGATATGCTAAATGCAAAAAGTATTCAAAAAATCGTATCCATGCATGTAGCGTTGAAAGTCCAAATCTGTAATTGTCTGTAATACTAGTTCTATTTATGACATCATCGATATTATTGAACTCTTTTTATTTTACACCCACAAATGTAACATGTCTGGCTTGATATTCCAGTCATTGAGTTACAAACCTTTTTAAAATATAAAATAAAAATGTAATATAATTTAAGCTTATATTATAAAAAATAAATAAAAAAATCGCCAAAACAAGCGAAAACAATCGCCAAAGATGTGTAGCTGGAATCATACGTTCAGGTTGTTGAAAAACTTGAGAAGCTCTAACTGGAGGCAAAAATTTATAATATTTTTATAAAATTTCTAATCTTGCCCGTTTAGCTTCTGAGCCCTCGTTGGCCTTCTTTTCTTGATACTTTATACGAGCTCGTTCAAGGCGCCTTTTTTGTTGAGTTGCGGGCTCTTTATACATTATTATTTGTTTAGTATTTTATTATATATACGCTTTGTCAATCTCTATGTAGGATTTTCTTACTGTTTTAACAATGAAACGCGTTAAAAGTTAAAAGTAATTATTATTATAATAGTTTTATAACCCATGGAAACCGTTTATAAACAAAATTTCGTACCTGTATATTATTTATTCTTCTTCCTCGGAGATGACTTTGCACACCCGTCATCGCCGACCTGGAAGTCCGGGTCCCAAAATAACAACGGATTATTGTATTGCCTTCCAAGACCTATGTCTATACCAATTTTCAGAATTTTTCATCGTAAATAAGTGCCTCAAATCGAGCGCGCAAGATTTGAAGACAACAGGAATGAAATATTGTGAGTTAAAGAAAAGCATGTAAAAAAGCATGTAATAAAAATAATAATCTGTTGAACTTAAATAATTTATTAAAAACACCTTTCCATCTACTATTGAAAATATGAGTGTATGTGTAGGTTTTACGCCGACTACATTTTACTGTTTTTCTATGTGGTGCTTGTTGCTTCTTTGGTGGGCGGCTGGGTTGAATCGATGTAGTATTTAATGATTTAGTAGTTTCTTGTATTGATGATACAAACTTGTGCTTTTCCGTGTAAGAAAGTTGTATCAAGTTGTCTGGTCTCAGAGCGCATGCGTCGCCACGCGCTCTGTGTTGCGTCCGTGCGTTTCATTGTTCGGCGTCTTTTTTCGTGTTTGTCCAATGAAAATGTTGTTGTGCTGGTTGGAAAATGTATTGAACTGTGTCGTACCGTAAGATATTAAGTGTCGCTACACTTTACGCGATCAGTATCCGAAGTATTGACAAGTAAAACGTTGGAAGGTTATAACTTGGTCGGCGCGGTACCTATTCACTTTACGCTTGTCGCGTCCGGTAGATGGCGCAGGCGGTTTGGTTAGGAAGAATTATTCCTAATAATTCTGCCTCGTTACAATTACTACATTAAAATGAATATTTTTTTATGAGAGGTTGTATTTATTTACAATTATAAACTTAAATTTAATCTTTTTAAATGGAAGAAAAAATGTTTTCATAGTTACTTAAGTGAGCTCACTGTAAAACCTAATATAATGAGTCTCAAATTATAATCATAAAGGTACCTAGTTAGTTCATAATTAATACCAAAACGATAATACCTATTTTATTTTGTAATTTTTAAATAGACAATTTAACTACTTTGAGTACCAGTTACCATTTGGTTAATCAACACATTTTGAACCACTTGCGTCCCACTAGGAATGTGAGAACCAAGTTTTTGGATAACTCTCTCAGGATAAAATATGCTACAGAGCAATACCAATTAGGACAAATATCAATACGGAAATTTATTCTGCGTTGTTCGTATACCAGCGCAGCAAATGAATGAAGGCTGCGAACCTGGGCTTTGAGAATGAACAATGCTGATGTTGATGCTGAAGCAGACCACAATGTTCCAAGCAGATGTAGTTTCAGGACCAGATCACATTCCCAATGCTATTAATACACAACCAGTGGAAAATAATAACTTGCAATGGGATCTGAATCAACCGTTTAATGATGCACCAGGTTTACAGCCATTTATGAACTCTCCAGATTCGCCAAATGTACCTTAGCCGCTAGAAACTTGTGAATGAAATGCTTAGGAGTGTCTCTAGCTGAAAGTGAACAGCAATATACAGTATGACCATGTCATCGCGCATTGGAACAACAAAACTCTGTAGGTATGCCCAATATGTAAAGCAGAAAATGGTAATTTTTCAACGGGTGTTTTTTACTTCAATGTTTTATTTTAATCTTTTTAAAAATTAAATAAATAAATGATAATTTATAATTAAAACTGAAGTTTATTAATTATTATAATAAGTACTGAAGAAGCTTATCTCCAGAAAATAATATAAAAATAGTTGGTCCATTATTTAATATATTTTTCAGATTTTCTAATTTATCTAAAAATTAGGTAACGGTTTAGTATTTCACTAGACAAAGTGTTGTTACTGTTTTATTAAAAACCACTTTATTTAATCTCTAAACATTTTTTAAAATTTATTTCACATGTTTTTACACAACTTCAATTATATAAAATATATTTGTACAGTCAATAGTCATAGATACGCTTTACTTGTAAAATAGTTTCACACCGGATAGAACAAGGGAGTTAAACTATTAAACTAGAGCAGCTCGTTTAAACCTTTCTCATTCCAAATCAAATAGGATTTTAAAAGATCGTTTGAATATTGAAAGCGGAATAATGGAAAATTAAAGTGGTAGTCGGAAAAGAAACAGAGCTGGAAGAGAAGAAGATGTAGACAAAGTATTAAAGGAATGGTTCTTACAAGTGAGGAAAAAAGATGCCCGTAATAGTGGTCTATTTTTACGTCAAAAAGCAGATGACCTGGCAAATAAAACAGGGAAAGATGATTTTATTGCGACAGAAGGATGGTTTCAACGTTGGAAGAAGAGGGAGACCGTTAACTTCATTAAAACACACGGAGAGCAAGGGGAGCTAATTTTAGTGCTCCACAATCGTGGTTTGAAACTTCTTGGACCTAACTGCTAGCCCAATGCTCAACAATATTAACCACTGTCCACTGTTCAATTTCAATGCTGTATAGTAATTTATTGCATTATAACTAAAGTACCACAATCTTCGCTCGATTTGAAGAAGTTTTCAACTTCTAAACCCAAAAGTAACTTAACTCCGCATAATTGTATTGGTATTTTGATCCAAGAATATTAGTAGAAACTTGAACAATCATTTTCTATGTTTGTTTTTGGAAATTGTTTACCACTAAATATAACTGAGAATTACAGTACACTATACTCTATTCAAAATAAGACCGTGACCGGGCGTGGCTTTGTTTCGTGGCAGAGCCCGACGCACCGCCGTGGTGTGGTCGGCGTTTAACCATATGTCTGACCGCCGCCGGACGAAAACTGGTCGCCGCCTGGTCACGGTCTTATTTTGAATAGAGTATAGATCACTATAAAATTATTCGACAAGGAATCATATTGTCGAGTCGTTATAAATTATCCAATAACCTACTTGATACACAACATACGACCCTTGTGATTATTGTTTCAAGTTAGAAGAAAACGTGCAACGTCTAAGAAAACTGGTGTAGTGGTATTGTGACGACCCTAAGAACGTACAGGGTATTTATTATTTATATATATATATATAAATATTCCCGTATTGCATTATTTTCCGTTGAATGAAGTAATTTATTAAACTTTATTTATTTTCTAGATGCATTTCAGAACGATAGTATGCCTTATTAATATGGCAAAAGTGCTTGATTGTACCGTCAAACAGGCATCTGCAGATAATATACAGGTCTTTGTTAAAAAAGTAAAAATACCACACTAATAAAATGTATATATGATATTGTGTCGAATGCAGCAGTCACTTCTACCGATTCTAATAAAACTATCGATGCTTGGTTACGCAATCCCGACTCAATTAAAAGAGTAATTATATTATATTATTTTTGAATTACTTTCATTTATTTGTTTTGTATTAAATAATCAAATATTTTTTTCTAGATATTATTCTCAGAAACGGTCAGCAAAATCAAAGTAAAGCCAATGACAGGGAGGGTGAAGTAACCCGGCTATCATCTACATTTCGATAATTGAGTTAACCTAGATCACAAATCTACTTTTACACCATGTCCGTTGACAGTACAGAAAATTAAAGAGGCCAAAAAGGATTTTTTAAATTCATCGGACGAACCTGAAGAGATTTCTCAACGTCGAGAACATATTAGAGTATGTTGCTGTGCTTAAAACATGAAAACCTACTTCAAAAGTATATGTTACATACAATTATTTTTGCTTGGCAGATAAGGTTTTTTTTTGAAAACTTCAATTTCCTGCTATGAGACTCCATATAAAATCTCACCGAAACTTCACTTGCCTGCCATGAAATTCTATATGAAATCTCGAGTAATCTTTTTTTTATTAATTGAGTTCTCATAGAGTATCTCATTTATTAGGATTTTCAATGTGTTATTCAATTATACAGTGTCTCCACTACACGCCTGTTTTGATACCACAAGAAAAATATTTTTTTTTTTAAGGAGTTATGGAATACTGAAGATTTTTGATAATAAACTAGTTTGGTTTATGTTAATACTCGATGATACAAGTACAATATTATGGTACTACAAACGTAAATCGTAATTAGTAATTTGTAAGTCGTATACACAAAAGAATTAATTTAATATTTTTCACGGTAATGTCATTGAAAAACATAACTACGTATTTTAGTTGTTTGGTTTAATATTTCTATTATGAATTTAAATGACGATATAATTAAACAACATTTAATAGATTCACACTTTGAATTATCGGATTCTGATTCGGAGTTAAATGTTGATGATACCGATAATGATCCTGTTTTGTATGTAACATAGAGAATAATAGCGATAGCCACACTACCCATGTTTCAGAAACAAGTGGATTAGAATTGGATGCGGCATTACCATTAAAAAATGTTAGTAATAATTTACCATTATCGACAAGCCGTAACCAGGACGTCCGAGAAAAAACACCTTTGTCTACATCTGCGACAACTCCACTGAGAACTTGGCGTCCAGACGATAATGATATTAAAGATTATCCATTCAATCCAAAATCTGATATAATTGGTATTAATCCTGATTTATTTGATGTATTATTGAATGGTACACCTTTAGATTTTTTCAAACTAATTGTCAGTGACGACATAATTATAAAAATTGTCGAAGAAATACAAAATTGGCTAGGCCTTGTTTTATGGATGGGCTTAGTGGAAATGCTAGAAATAGAAATGTATTGGAGCAACTCAACTTTGTTTTCAACATCGTTGGTAAAATAATTAGCCGAAATCGTTTCCAATTACTTACACCTATGATTCATTATCAAAATAATGAAACAGTGGATAAGAATCACCGTTTGTATAAATTAGGTACTTTGATTGATGATGTGATGATAAATTCAAACAACTGTGTAATGATGAATCTGTCATACCGTTTACAGGAAGATTATTATTTAAACAGTACATAAAAAACAAAAGATAGTATGGTATTAAACTGTATAAACTTTGCATACCTAAAAATTATACTATTTCTGTGAAAGTTTATTCTTTCCAAGAAGCTACGGTTGATGGCAGTGTTGCAACAAACCTTGTGATAGAACTGACTGAACCGTTCCTAAATGTTGGTAGAACAATGGTTGTTGATAATGTTATACAAGCATGGAACTTGCTGAAATATTTCAACAACATAGCACATATCTTATTGGAACATTAAGAGCTAACAGAAAATCAAATCCAAAAGAATGATAAAAAAAAAGGCAAATCATATAGTTTACGTATCAAGACTAATGTAATGGTTATGCAATGGAGAGACAAGAGAGAGCTTCTTATGTGTAGTACTAAGACTTCTAATATGATGATTGACATTCAAAAGCGTCGTAAAGTAAAAACAAAACTAATTACTGTATTAGAATATAATCAGGGGAAAAGTTCCATTGATCTTTCTGATCAAAAAGCTTTATATTCAAATCCACTACGTAGATCGTTAAAATGGTATCGTAAAGTTTGTATAGACATACATTGGTGTTGTTAATTCTTCACATCTATACAATTCTGTCACAAAGAATAAAACTTCTATTACATATTTTCGCACTTCTCTAGTAGAAAGTCTCATTAAGAAAAGCAATAATGTATACAGGCCATAAGAAAAACCCATCAATTAGTCATTGTTAAAAAAGATAGGTGCTATAAATGTTATATAAAGAAAACTGCAGAAAAGAGTAGAAAATATGCACTGTCACATTCCTTATGCTGTGCTTATTATGGAATAAGTATGTTTGTCAAATTTGTTTCTGTTGAAATATAAAATTAATATTAGTACCTATTCAAACCATATAAATACACGTGCGTGTACAATGTCGTTTTCTAATAGATACTTATGCAGTTACGATATAGCTGTGCAACACCTTTACTATCGCTTTCTATATTATATACGGATACGGGATGGCCTCGATTGTTCATATAAATAGGGCCTTTCATGTATGTAATACTCACTTGCACAGACGCTGTCATACCAAGTGTACGCGGTGTGTGTGTATAGTCCCAGTTTAATTGTCCAGTTGTAAGTTATTATATATTATACTTATACATAATCATATTGTCGTGTTATTACTTATTATATTAATGCTAAAATCACAAGTACGTCAAGCTTCACTTTCAACAGATTATGGGCCCAGGACAATAAGCCAGGACGATAACTCAGTACAATAGCCCAGTACATGTGATCGAAGTATTTTTATATTTGTATTAACGCAGAAAACTACAACCAGTCGGAAATATCCTGGATTTCAGAAAACGGCGGAACAGTGTACATTGGTAATTGTTATACAGGTTAGGTTAGTATACAAGAAATTATGGGTCATGGAAGACATGGTGAAAATAACAAAATTATGTGCGGAAAACTGGCCGTTATGGAAATTCCAGATGAAGGTCATTCTATAAATGCCTTAAGAGTAGGTGAGATAGTTTCAGGTGAATGGACGAAACCAAGTTGACCTATAAAAAAGTCGGCAGCAGAGACCGACGAGGATGCCAAAGCACGTTGGCAAAGGCATACAAACGCTTGGCGAAAAGCGGACGGTAAATGTCAAAAAATAATAGTTACCTCAGTGGACGATGGTCTATTACAATATTTGTTTTACTGTGAGACTGCATTGGAAATGTGGGAGAAACTGCTGAGTATTTACGAGCAGAAGTCTGAGGCAAGTATACATTTGCTTCAACAACAATTTTTCAGTTATTCAAAGGAGCCGATAGATGACATTTCGACGCATATTTCTAAATTGGTCAATTTAGGAAGGAAACTGGGAGTAGCGGGTGAACCAGTTACGGATAACATGGTTATGACAAAAATACTAATGACATTACCTAAAGAATAAAATCATTTTTACAGTGCTTGGGATTCAGTCCCAACGGGAAGTAAAAATATAAATAATTTAAATAGTCGGTTGTTGATTGAAGAATCACAGGTTATCTAGATCAAAGGTGAAGTTGGTGAACAAGGGAAATCGAGTGCATTTCCAGCCAAATTTCAAAATTTACTAATAAAAGTAATGTTAAATGTTATTACTGTGGTAAAATTGGTCGTTATAAAAGAAACTGTAAGAATTTTCTAAGTAGTATGAAAGGTGGGAAAACCGGTACTACAATTACAAATGTAAATACATTTGTAAGCGAGTCAAGGATAAATGAAACTACAACAGATACGTGGGTTTTAGACTCAGGCACGTCGGATCATATGAGCGCGAACCTAGAATGGCTTACAAGTTATGAACCATTGAAATATACACAACAGGTAACAATAGGTGACGGAACAAATCTGTATGCAACAGGAAAGGGTAATATTAATATATTATCATACGTGAACGGTATTTGGAATAAAAATTACTTGGCAAATGTATTGCACGTGCCGGGATTAAAATTTAATTTATTCTCTTGCGGGTCAGCGTTAGACAAAGGTTTAGAACTAACGTCAGACAATAAAACGTGTGTGTTCAAAAGATACGGGATTCCTGTATGCATAGGCACAAGATGCGGTAGGTTGTTTGAATTACAGATCAAAGTCGAAGCACCGTCGAAAGCTGAATGTTATGCGAACATTGCAGTAGAAGAACGATTAGAAGTATGGCACAAGCGTTTAGCTCACCAGAATATTCAATACGTGAGGAATTGTTGGGTAAAACATGATATTGATTATTCAGCCAAGGACGATCAATTTGTATGCAGCGACTGCATAATCGGAAACAACACCGTCAATCATTCAGTAAAAGTGAATATTTTAACGTCGGCGATTTAATACATGCAGATTTATGTGGACCGATGTAGAGGAACTCTATCGGTATGTCAAAATATTTTTTACTATTTAGAGATGACTACTCACGTTGCAGAACGGTATATTTTATTAAGAATAAATATGAAGTAAAAAATATTATGGAGACATTTATAAAAAGTGTTAAAACAGAAACAGGATCTAAAGTCAAAATATTAAGGACAGATAATGGGTTAGAATTTGTAAAAAAGGATATTACAGGTATTCTACAGAAATATGGCATACGACACCAAACTACGGTAGCATATACGCCGGAACAGAACGGGAAAGTCGAGCGTGATAACAGAACAATCGTAGAAGTTGCCAGGACAATGATATTTGCGAAAAATCTTGACGTGTCATTATGGGCAGAAGCTGTGAACACAGCGGTTTATACACTTAATCTAACCGGAACGAGTTCACAGAATGGTAAGCCACCTTATGAGTTATATTATAAAGTCGTGCCAGATATTAAGAAATTTACGAGTTTTTGGTACTGCGGTATATACACACATACCAAAGCAAAAACGTCAGAAATGGGATCCAAAAAGTGAAAAAGGAATATTTGTTGGCTATTCGAACAGCACGAAAGGTTATCGTGTTATGGTATTCGAAAACAATTAAAATATCCGTGTGCAGAGACATTATATTCGAAGACGAATGTAATAATTATGAAAATTTAATTGCAGACACATTAGAGTTTACAGACACTCAAATTAATTCAACGGGCGTGCGTGAGAAGGACGAAAACATAGTCGATGATAGAAATGTTATGGTTCTACGTGACAGGAATACACTTAAGAAACCGGACAGGTATAATGTTCAGACTTTTATTGCTAACTGTGTCAATCCATTGAATTATGATGAGGCAATTACTGGGTCAAACAAAAATGAATGGAATAATGCTATGAACGACAAAATTAATTCGAAAATCAGACTTGGACTCTAGTCGATTTGCCACAGGATAAAGTTGCATTACGAAATGCATGGGTGCTCAAAACCAAATATAAAACTGACGGTAGTATAGATAAATTTAAGGCCAGATTGTTCATTAAGGGTTGTTCACAGAAATATAGTATAGATTACCATGAAACATTTTCGGTTAAAAAGGGAAACTTAGAATATTTCCTAGGTATGCAGGTAAATTTAATGAAAAATGGTTCATTATTCGTGCATCAGACAAATTATGCATGTAGCATAATTAATAAATTTAATATGCTGGACGCCAAGGAACTTTCAATTCCGATAGACAAATCACATACTATTGAACAAATGGAAGAATCGGAGATATTAAGTGAAGAAATACCTTATAAGCAGGCAGTAGGTAGCTTACTGTTTTTATCACAGGTAACGAGACCAGATATAGAAAATGCAGTGAACTTTGCTAGTCGTTACTTAGCAAAACCAATTAAAGCTCATTGGAACTTGGTAAAACGGATTATACGATATGTCAAACGAACATTTAATTATGGCTTGTATTTTAATCATAATACAAAATTGTCATTAGAAATATTTAGCGATGCAGATTACGCGGGTGATGTTCAGACACGACTTTCAACGTCAGGATTTCTATTCAGATACGGGTCAAGCATAATTTCATGGACATCGCAGAGCCAACATTGTGTGTCATTGTCATCGACAGAAGCTGAATATATTTCGGCCAGTGAAGCTGTAAAAGGAATCATGTGGATTACGCGGTTTATAATAAGCTTATCAAAAGCAGGTGATAAACATCCGGTATTATTCATTGATAATCATAGTGCTATTCGTTTAGTTAAGAATCAGGAGTCTCATAAGAGGACAAAACACATAGACGTACGATATCATTTCATACGGGAGAAATACGAAGAAGGACAATTTCAACTACTGTACATTGGAACAGAGGATCAGATTGCAGACATTCTAACAAAGCCTCTGGTCAAGGAACGTTTCGAGAAATTGCGGTCAGCTGTAGGAGTGACTACAATTAAAGAAA